AAATTTTTCCATGTTTTTGGGTGTAGGTGCTTCATAAGGAATCTTAAGGATAATCTTTCGAAGTTTCAAACAAAAGCTGATGAAGGAATTTTCTTAGGATATTCACACAACTCTGTAGCTTATAAAGTGTTAAATAAGCGAACTCGCAAAGTGGAAGAAACATTCAATTTGACATTTGATGATTATTATATTAAAAAGACTGATCATCAATTTGCAAATTATCCTATTTTGGAAAACTCTTCAAATGAGAACGAACCAATACAAATGGATGATGCTAATTATGAATCGATTTTTGGTATTTCAGATCACGCAATTGATGCAGAGAGAAATGCACCAGATAATCAATAATCAGAAGATTCGAAGCTTCATGATGAATCAATCTCGCTTTCGAATCTAAACCCAAATGAAATATCTGATGGTCTAGTGGAGGGGGAGCACTTGGATTCAAACACTTTTGTTGAGGGGGAGCATTTGTACGAAGCAGATAATATGTCTATCAATATTGATGTTGAAGGAGAGCCAATAATTGAAGAGGAGCCAATAATTGAAGAGGAGCCAATACACGAAGACGAGCAAATACTCGAGGGGGAGCCAATACTTGAGAAGGATCGAAAGTAGAAGGGGAGCATTTTGATGATGCTGAGGATGCATGTTCAATAAATGGATCAGAAACCGATGTTGTGCTCGAAGATGCACCTTTGGACTTTGATCCTGATTATCCACCATTGGATAAATGGACAAGAAATCATCCAAAAGAACAAATTCTTGGAGATCCACAAGCGGGGGTATTGACAAGGGCTCAACTTCATGCAAGAAATGAGGTACTGAATACTCACCAAGAGCTATGCATGTTTAATGTTTTTATTTCCAAAATCGAACAAAAGACTGTTAAGGTTTCCATGGAACACTCTGATTCGGTTGTTGCTATGCAAGCTGACTTGTCTGAATTCGAAAGAAACAAGGTTTGGAGATTAATTCCTAAACCAATTGATGTTTCAATTGTTGGACTTAAATGGATTTTGAAAAACAAAACCGACAAAGATGGAAATATTATTCGAAATAAGGCCAGACTTGTTGTTAAAGGATATTCTCAACAAGAAGGAATTGATTATGAAGAAACATTTGCCCGTATCACAAGACTCGAGGCTGTTCATATTTTTCTGGCTTATGCAGCTCATAAAGATTTCGACATTTATCAAATGGATGTAAAATGTCATTCCTAAACGGCGAACTTGAAGAAATAGTTTATGTTGAACAACCACCAGTTTTTATAAATAACTAACATCCTGATCATGTTTATATTTTAGATAAAGTTGTGTATGGGTTGAAACAAGCACCAAGAGCATGGTATGCAACATTAACATCATTTTTGTAACAATCTAAATTTAAACAAGCATCAGTTGATCCCACTTTATTTCGAAAGAAAGTTGGGAGTCACCTGATGCTTGTTCAAATTTATGTTGATGATATAATTTTTGGCTCTACTGACCCTGCTTTGTCTAAAGAATTCGAAGACTTGATGAAAAGCAAATTCGAAATGAGTATGATGGGCAAAATTAATAATTTTTTGGGTTTGAATATTTGTCAAAGAAGAGAAGGCATCTTCATTAATGAGGAGAAATATACGAAGAATCTGCTAGAAAAAATTGGAATTACGAATAGCACAAGGTTACGAGTACCAATTTCAACGGTCATAATGTTAACTCCTTCGTTAGACAAATCTGTTGTTGATATCACTCTGTATAGAAGCAGGATAGGGTCATTATTGTACCTAACTACGAGTTGACCTGATATTATGTTTTCTATTTGTAATTGTGCAAGGTATCAATCGAATCCACGTGAACCACATCTAACAGCGGTGAAGAATATTTTTCGATATTTGAAAGGCACTACTTCGTTAGGTTTGTGGTATCCTTCGAAAACAGCGTTCTTTATACAAGCTTATTCAGATGCAGATCTGGGAGGATGCAGTCTTAATCGAAAAAGCACAACTGGTGGGTGTCAATTACTAGATGGAAAATTGTTCAATTGGCAATCGAAGAAGCAAACATGTGTTTCGATCTCTACAGCCGAGGCTGAATATGTTGCTGCAGCTGCGTGTACATCACAAATTATTTGGATTCAAAGTCAATTACGTGATTATGCTATAAATATGAAAAATATTCCTTTATATTGTGATTCACAAAGTGCAATAAGAATTTGTCATAATCCTGTGCAGCATTCAAAGACTAAGCACATTGATCTCAGATATCATTTCATAAAAGATCATGTAGAAGAAGGAAATATTGAAGTTCATTTTGTGAAAACAACGGAACAGTTGGAAAATATTTTCACAAAGGCATTGGATGAAAAATCATTTCTTCGTATTCTAGAAGGATTGGGAATGCTTGATGGAAATTCAATTTCATATGTCAAAAGTGAAGAGTGATGGGTCGTAATGATTTGGTGAACTGAAGGACAGTTTGCTTAGAAAGTTTTCAGCATTCAGAGGCTACAGTTCATGGTCAACGCTTCGAATGGTTCGTATTCGTATGTTTTGTTCGTTGATGAAGTTCGTATTCAGAGACTATTGTTCAAAGTCAACTGTTCGAATGCTTCGCGTTCGTTTGTTTTGTTCTTTGAAGATATTATTATTCAAAGGTCATTGTTCTAAGTCAAATCTTCGCATGGCTTCGCATTCACACACATTTCAACTAAGGTATGATTTCTATAAACTTTGGAATAGTTAGGATGTCCCTAGAAGCATACTGCTACATGTTGACGCAAGCCTCATATGACTCAATGTGTGAGAAAGGAAAGCCTTGATGAAATTATCTCATGAAAATTTCTTCCCAAAAAGGCTTGTATTCGCATTAGTCAACAGATCTACCTTACTCTTCTCATATGAGTTAAGAGTTTTCTGTTTGGTCCACATATAACAGAGGTACATTCGATCTATAATCCAATCTTTTTCATCTTAAACTTCTTTACACAATTCACACACAATGACGAATATCCAAGAGGTTTTTGATCAAACCAATCAAAATCTAGACATACAAAAACTCTGTGTTTATGATCTTAAATCATGAGTCTGTGATTAATGTGAAACCCTAAAATCCAACAAATCAAGGAATTAAAGGGGAACTTTATTCCAGATCTTACGAAACATTTGTTTCAGTACCTTTTATACTCCAAATTGTATTCATTTTTTTTAGTGGTCTTGATCAAACATTCGAAACATACGATGTTTGTTCCCAACAAGATCCAACATAATATTTTTTTCATAAATATGATTTCCGTGTGAGTATATTTCGAAAATACTTGTTACATTGAATATCATTCTAAACCAATTTGTCAGTGAGTACACTGGTCACACAAATAATTTTTGTTACAATTAATCACCTTATGTTAAGGCTGATATGTAACCAAATTTTGGAAGCCACCCATTAGTCTTATAAAAGAAACCCTTTGAAACTTCTCTTCAAGTTGTCGATTGTAATTCATGGGAAACCAAGCAAGCTGTTGATTATCTCTCTTGATAATTTTCGAAGAAATCTTTGCCCGGGATTTAACTGGTTTTGTGTCAAATCAAATTTTTGACATCACCATTTTCCAAAAAAAAATTACATTTGTTTCTTATCTAAATTTTTGGAACACAGCACACACGAAATCCTTGAGGTTTGAGTATTACCAACTCAGACTGATATTTCGAAACTCTGGCATATGACTTCGTTTTTAAACCCAAAAGTGAAAGAGCCTTACCTCTATTCCTTCTGAAGGGTTCCGACGGTTACACTTCTCTTGGGGAAAACAAAACAGTCTTGTCTTTTGGTGATGTGTGGAATACGATATGAGTTTTAGGTGTGCTAATAGTTACGTTTGTTACTTTTTGATGAGTGAGGTCCGTATTTCAAGGTGCCATGTCAGCAAGCATTTAATGCATCCCGCTTGAAATTCAAAATTCTTGGGTTCAATATAAAAAGGGAATTCAGGGGTCCATAACACTTTATGCGATCAAATATTCTCTTTCTTACAAATTCTCTCTGAAATTCATCTTCTTGAAAATTCATCTTCTTCAAAAATCATCTTCTTCACACTCAACTATGGCGACTCACATGCAAGATTCAATTCCATCATCACCAACAACTCAAGAAGTTATTTATGTTACAATATTGAAGATACAGGGTTCAAATTATCAATTGGAGTCTGATTTATCCAAGTATCTGGATGAACTCAAGATGTTGGTGATTGCTTTATAGAATTTTGTTCTATCAAAAGCCATGTTTGATTCATTTGCGATTCCGATGTCCTGGTTGTCTAAGGCCGGATCAACAGCATCGTACAACAAAGAGACTGGAAGTGTGGAATTTACAATGGTAAATGAAACACGCATTCGAATGTACAAGAGGTTATTCTGCAAGATTTTGGGAATTCCGAACACTGGTCCATATGTGGAAGTCACCTATCCACAAGTTGTGTTCATGTTCAACAAAATGGGTCATCAACCTCCATTGACGCGCATTAGTGATTTTAAGAAATCCGGTTTACCTACGGTATGGAATTTCTTATTTGGCATTTTTCTTTGTTGTCTTACCGGAAGAAGAGTGGGTCTCGACAAAGGGAGAGTGGAAGTCTACGCAATGGTGGTTGGGCTTTATTATGATTTGCAAGTTGATTACTCTGAACAGCTATGGATAGAGTTCTTGACAAGCATTTCGAAGACCAATGTCAGGCAGGGGATTTTGTGTGCCAGATATTGGAGTCTTATTCTTCAATATGTTTATACAAGGGAGAGGATTGAAGTTCCTGAATTTGAAGAAAAAGTCGTTTTTCATATGTATGGCTGTCCGAAGGAGGTTGTTGATGATCCTGCCATCTTTACATCTATTGCTCGTATTCCGGATGCGATGCTCAAAAAGGTGAATCCAAAAAAGAACGTGTTGGTGTCATATCTTCAATCAATTGACACCACTGTTGTTAGTGGTATTTTATACGAAGCGTAGAAGAAGAAATCAAAGAAAATGAAGAAGACAGACTTTGGGTCTTCGGAAAAAATAGTGAAGGATGAGAAGAAGAAGAAATCACCTACGTTCAAACCAGCTACAGTCAAAGAACTTTCTCAACAGATTATTTCACATATTTCGATGACTGTTGTTGATACACCAACTATCGAAGCGTCTCAGGAGAAAGAGACTATTCCATCTAAGATGGGGGTTTTTCGCCGACTCAAATTCAACCGAAAATCTTCATCTCAGATTATTAAGAAAACTCAAATCACACATCAGGGTGTTATGGTCTGGGATATTCCAACCCCTGTTTCTCCGTCGTCGAAAAAGCGAAGGGTTGAGGATCTTGCAAAGTTTATTAAGAAGAATCAAAGGACTGAGGAAGAAGAGCAAGTTCCTGAAACACCTAAAGTCAAAATTCAAGAAGAAGCGAAGACCAGTCCACCTGTTACTCTTTCGAAGCCTGCTGATTTGAAAACTGTTGAACACGGTCATGTTGTCTCTTTACCCCAGGTTACATCAACTACTGATTCTCCAACTTTTCAATCTATTATGGATCAACCGTTCACTACAATTTTTTCTACTCAATCTACTGATCCACTGAACCCATCTTCATTGGTTGATGAAACCATGGCTACTGATGCTGGAACTGATAATGAAGGCTTTGGAGGAACGTTCGAAGCTCTTCACTTTGATAATTCCGAAGAAGATTTTCCATACCACATGCTGATGACGATGAAGCAATTCAAGATTCTGAATTCAAAATTAAATTCAATCTAGCAATCACAAGCAGATGTGGGTAGTGTTGGGGTTACAAGTTTGGAGGTTGATTCTTTAATGAAATTGATGGAAGGACGAGTAATTTCGAAGGCTTCTGGTTTAATTAGGGATTCAGAAAGTAGAGTCCTTGAAAAAGTTGATCAACATGATATTTCTACTGAGAATCGAATTAATTCTCAGAGGGCTGATTTTGTACGAGAGTTGAAAGACTTGAAGATGGTTATGAAGGAACGTCATGTGCTCTTCAAACAAGAAGTCAAAAAGGTACAGCAGGATGTTAACCTTCAAATCAGAGAACTTCGAGAAGATATGCCAAAGGAAGTTCAAATCGTACAACAGGATTATGCTTCGGCTAATTAGAAAATTGATATCATCTGTGATGCAGTCAACAGATGTGTCAAACTTTACGAACAGATGAATCTGACACTGACAACTCTTTCTGCCAAAGAGGAACAAAACTTTGGAGAGTTGGTAGGCTTGTTGAAGGAATTAAAGGACTTATCTTCGAAGTCTGTCTCTTCGATAATTTCACAAGAATTTCTTTCCTAGAAGTTTTCTAATATTGAAGCCATTTTACACAAGAATCTTGTTCTACTGCTTCGCATTTCCAGCCTTTTACCAACTATATAAGATGCCCCACCTGCTTTCATAGGGGTGCAAGGAGGAGAAAATATAGAACAACTAAAGGCTGGGGAACAAGTGAAAACTTGCGAAGGGATGAAGACAACCATAGAAGATGCGAAGGTAGTTGGTAAGGTATATCCTTCGAAGGTGGTGGAAAAGGCAACTGTTGTTTCTGCTGGTCCAGTTACTTCAACTGTGATCACAACAGTTCCAATTCCAAAACCAATCTCAAAGGGATTCGTAATTGGAAAGCAAACATGTGTATCTTCTTCAAAAAAAGTTGATTTGTCAAATATAAAGGATAAGGGAAAAGGGATTATTATTGAAAAGTCCAATGAAGAAAAGAAAGCGAAGGTGGCAGCTGAAGTAGAAAGAATGAGACAAGTACAGAGCATAATGAGACAAAGGGCTTTGGATGGTTCGAAAGTTGAAAAGGGTGATCCGTCAAAAGTATATAATTACGAAACCATTCAATCCAGGGTGATGTTTGATCATATGTATTCGTTTGAGAAGATTCCTAAGAAAAGCTACATGGTGATAAACATTGATTTTTGTCAACTTGATTTTCCAATCAATGAGATGATGTTTGTTATGCCATAGTTTAAAGCCGAAACAAAGTCACTGGAAACAGAAGAGGGAAAGCAGATGAAAATTCGGTTTCATGCGGTGTTGGGAAAGGCTCAAGAAGAGATTTGGTTTTTGGAGAAGATATGAAAGGTGATATCCATCAAAAGAGATGTCATTTTCGAAGGGAAGTTTGAAAACATCAAATACATTTTTGCAAGAGCAAGTGGAAAACTTCAAGAATTTACGGTGGTAGACTTTCCTTTGATGAATACTTATGATCTCATCAATATCGCCTTGATGCTTAAAGACAAATCGTTTTCATTTCTTCAAGATACTGTGCTTGATGTATTTAGCCTTGGGTGCAAGCACATAAAAATATACTTGGAAAATTACTTCGAATGCTTGGCTCAAACAGATGTGGAACTTGCTATAGTCAAAGGAATCGATATAACTGCACCAATGGCACCAACAAAGAAGCAAAATGAGCTGAACAAGTATGAAGATGGTGAAATTTTCTTAAAACCATTGGGGATAGTTTTTGCTAGGAAAGATAAAGCTGGAAGAGCTAAAAGATTTTTGTTCCAAACTTGTGAAGTGGAGAGATACAGCAACTCTCAATATACAAACTTAATTGTTCGTATGAACCACTATAAGAAAAACTCAGAAGGAGATAAAAAAGAGATAAATAAGGTTATCTCTTGGTATATGGAGCTCCGAAGAGTGCTGATGTATGTCGTTCAAGCACTGACTACTTGAAGACTTCGACCTTGATTCCAAAGGGGGAGATTGTTAGGGCTAAATTGTTGTAATAGTCGAAGAGTCAGTTTGGTTGTTACGAAGAATCTTGTGTCTTCGTATGTATGGGTCTTCGTATATATAGTTATTTTACTAAGGCATTATAAAGTCAAGACTTAACGTTTAGTCGTTAGTATTTTTCTTATGCTTTTGTTCTCCTATAAATAGGGGTATGTACTAGTGATCTAAGAAAAGACTTTACACACAGTTTTACAGTTTGGTCATTGTATTCTGTAAACTGAAAGGCATAATACGAGTTGAACAAAGATTCTATTTACTCTCGTGTTCTTCGTTTAAATACTTTACTTAATTAATACTAGAATTACATTCAAACTTGATTCAAAATCTCATCAAAATGATTTCTCAAAACAACTTTTCATACTAAACTCTTTATCAAACTATATTTCATACTATATCTTTCCTTTTAAACTCTGTTACAATTGTGTTTCAAATAAAGGATTTGTTATACTTTAAAATGTTCTTACGAAACAAACACTTTCAAATCATTTTATAAACTGACATCAAGTCATAAATTCTTATTTACTAAACTTTTCAAACGTTTTACCAAAAGTTCTTTTATACTTTTATATTGTCAATTGCATGACTATATATGTATAGTTATATAATTAATGTTTAAAGGACTTAGGACTGCTAGCTCGCTTTAATTCATTTTCCTTGTTTGGATGTGACCTTAGGGTATGGGTTATTTGTCCGAATGTCATCTAAATATTAGTTATATTATGTGTATATATATATATATATATATGGACATAAAAGTTCTATAGGTCAGTTCAGTACCTTTGAGTAGCAAAAGCATACTTTCGTTTATTCACATACATTACTAGTAACTATAATAGGTATAGTTAGGAGATACTATTTACTATTCCTATTACAATTGTTAAAAGCATGTCTAGATATCTATAGTTATATAAATAATGTTTAAAGGACTTAGAACTACTAACTCACTTTATTTCCTTTTCCTTGTTTGAATGTGTACTTAAGGTATCGGTTAGTTGTCTAAAGGTCGTCTAAATCTTACTTATATATTATGTATACATATGTAGAGATAATGGTTCTAATCAGTCAATTCAGTACCTTTGGGTAGCAAAGGCATACGTTCATATAGTCATATATATATATATATATATATATATATATATATATATATATATATATATATATATATATATATTCCTAGTATGCTATTATAGGTATAGTTTTGGGTATATATATAATTTCGTAACATTAATGTGGATTATTCGACCTAGCAATTCGTTGTGGAAGTCACCTTTAGTTCCCAGAATCTCTTATATGGAGAACTTTTAGTATGGGGACTATCAATCACATTATTACTTACTTTCAGCGGGTCTCATTAGAAGACAACTTACTTACCTACAGCGGGTCTCGTGAGAAGACTATTTACTTACTTTCAGCGGGTCTCGTGAGAAGACTAGTTACTTACTTTCAGCGGGTCTCGTGAGAAGACTAGTTACTTACTTTCAGCGGGTCTCGTTAGAAGACTATTTACTTACTTTCATTCGGGTCTTGGTAAAAGACTACTGTTTATACTGGTAGGAAATATGGGATTTTCTAGGGTTTTCATACTTATAAAAACTTTTCCTCAAAACAATTACAAGTCTTTTATACACGTTTTATTTACAAATAATGAAATTAAAAGCTTATGAATTCACCAGATTTATGCTGATACTCGCTTTCAAAAGAACTTGTGTTCTTAGGTCACCCATAAACAGTTACGATGACCAGGTTTTGTGAGCACGGAGTAGTCAGGACTCGTCTTTTATTTTGCATATTCATTATATTGTTTTATTCTATGAAAGAACACACTTATATTTAAAATTATACTATTAATGCAATGGATGAAATTGTTGCTTGTTTACTACTTTGCATTGTTGTGATACTTAATATTACGTCCTCTGCCCCAGAACGTTTCCGCCGTTCTTGGTTTTCGGGTGTGATAGATTGGTATAAGAGCATTGTTTATAGTGAATTGAGTATATCAACGCATGAAAGTTATACAGACTATAAATACAATTGGATTAAAATACTTTTACCCAAAGTTTATACCTTTAAGTACTAAAGTGCTTAACTAAAAGTATACGTATCTACGTACCTACATACTTACTATAGAACAGTACCATACTAGAATGTAATAAAAGTATTTAATTGTTGGGCACAACAGTCATGTCACACCCCCAAACCGGAACGGCGGAAACGTTCGGGGACGGATGACTTCATGTGGTAACGTAACAAATGAATACATAGTAAAGAAAGCAATACAACCATCATATATATAACTGAAAGTATACATTGTTCAAAAGAGAACATGTTCAAAACCAATTACAATATGATGCCAAAATATGATTTAAACTAGTGCCACAACGTTCCTTCTTCAAAAGCTGTTTAGTACCTGTAATTACTGAGTCCCTGGGACATACAAGTTGTTTTGAAAGAGTAGATCAGCATTTAAGCTGGTGAGTTTCATAAGAATTTAATGATAGTATTTGTATGAAAATGAAATGGTTCGTTTTTGTTTGTTAATCTCTAAAAAATCCCATATTTCCTACTAGTATAAACGTAGCTTTAAATTAAGAACAATATATGTTAAAAAGTTGATGTTTTCCCATCTATGAGTAGTGGTAGAAGTTCCAAACTTATATCACAATTGGATTTTTCATGCATAAAATAAATGACCTTATGTACGTATAAAACCTCCATTTTATCTGAAAACCCCCGTAAATCAATGTGTTTTTAATACTCTATGTGAGTTTTATAACCATCCTATTGACAAGGAATGCCTATACACAACGTTCTTCAGGCGTTGGAATGTTCTGACGTTTGTCACCCCAAATGGCGTAATGTAGCTGACAGTCAGGGCGCGGGGTTGTCAATCCCATATAGATCTATACAGAAACACCATGCTCCCCCTCCAAGGGATTCTGGTATATAATACAGGACTTGAAATGTGTACTCGTGCGTACGTGAAGTTTAATGTC